GAAAAGCATAACAAATAAATTTAACCCAAGTATTTTGTACATGGAGTCTTCCAAAATGAAGACCTTCAAAGATCCAGGGAAAATGATTTTAATGCTTAGGTTTGGTGAAGAAGGGACAGTTGTATAGAATGATTAGCTAAGGTGTGATATAATAGTAGACTGAGGGGGAAGGCCCAGCATGCCTGTCTATTCAGATTCTTCTTGGACTTTCTTTATAGACTTGTTTTCTTCCCAGTGTGGTGCAGGACACTGTTGGAATCAAGAGAAAAGGGAGGCGGCTTACATCACTCGAGCACTCGAGAGGCTGAGGCAGGAGGATTGCCATGAGTTTGAGGCCAGCCTGGGTTACTGTTGAGATCCAGTCTCAAAAAACAAAACAAAACGAAAAGAAAAAAGAAAAAAAAGGAAGAGTGAATCTTCTAGGTTTTTGGCTGGCTTTAGGATAGAGGGTTTCTAGTTTCCATGTGTACCTTGGGAAAGATTTCTGTGACTGACTTGGTGAGAGGGTTGAAAGTAGGAGGGCAGAAGGCTGGAGAGAGACTTTATTTTAGAGGCTTTTCAATCTTAACTCAGAATATTCAGCATGCCAAAGAACCATGTTTTTGCAGTTTATTTTCTGGGTCTCCATAAGTTACACTAACATAACAAGGCAAAGGTCCAGCGTCCCTCATTCTAGACAGTGCCTTCTCTAAGTTTTGGCCAGACTGTCCTTACCTTGTCCTTTGCTTACCTTCTACAATTATGTCTTAGTGATTGGGATGGAACATAAGCAAGAGGGGGGAGGTGCATTGATACAAAGCCATCACCATTTCTGCAAATAGCAGGTCACTAGTGACGTAGTACGTCCTTAACGTTCCTTTCATCCACCTCTCTTTTTATGAGTTAATATCAAGCCCAAACAGTAATACACCTTGGTTGATGAGAAGAACATTCACAACTTCTCAGAAAGGCACTTACAGTTTCTTTTAGAGAAGGAATTCTAGAAATCTTAAGTAGAATAACAGTAATATCTTTTGAGTATGCACCAGCTGAAAGTAATTCTGATTTTAAAAAAAAAGATTTAAAAATTTTTATTTATGTGTGTGTCTATGTGTCTATGCCATGTGTGTGCAGGTGCCTACAGAGGCCAGAAGAGAGCATTGGATCTCCTGGAACTGAACTTGTAGGCAGTTGTGAACCACCCAGTGTGGGTGCTGGGATCCAAACTCAGGTCCTCTGGAAGAGTAGCAAGTGCTCTTAACCACTGAGCTATCTTTGGTTTTGATACAGCATCTCACATAGTCCAGATTGGCTTGAACTTCTGATCCTCCTACATCTATTTCCTTAGTGCTGGGATTACAGTGTGAACCACCACACCTGGCTGGTAACTCTGTTTTCTCCCCAGGCTTTATTCTTTATGGTTTGGAGCAACTTTCATAGGGACTGTATTAGTCTGTTTTAAATTGAAATCCTATAATTACTAAATTTTATGTGTTTAGCCCCAGCTTGGGAAATTGTGGTAGGGACATTGCCTAAAACCCTGTGTTTACCCCTGGGGAGCCTGAAGTGCAGCTACTACATAGCCCTTTAGTTCCTTAGGTAAGTGGAGAAACCTGGGCATTTTTTTGTTTTTTTTTTAATACTAGTTTAAAATTTTATTTCTTTATTATTTAATGAGTAGACTGCATATATGTAAGTGCACCATATGTGTACAATGGCCATTGAGGCCAGAAAAGAGAGTTGGATCCCCTGGAACTGCAGTTAAGGACAGTTGTTAGCTGCCATGTGGGTGCTGGGAACTGAGTCCAGGTCCTCTGCAAGAGCAGCCAGTGCTCTTAACCACTGAGCCATCTCCAGTTTCCTGGGTTCCCCGGGTTTTGTTTTTTAAGCTTCCGTTTCATTTATAAATGAAGATAATAACAGTAAAATCAAAGGCATTGAGATGAGACAAATAGATCAAATATATAGAAAGATAAAAAATGTTATCTAGAATAAGTAAACAAAATGGCTTGTTACTTTGTGATTTATTTCTTCCTTCAAATTGAGTTGTTATAAGGAACTTCAGTCACGATAACTCTGTGTTTAAGAACAGCCACCACAAAGAAAGAGAGATAAAACCTTAGTTTGTACACAGGACAATTTGATATGAATTTAACCACAGTCAGAGTTGGCAGAGCTAATGTTCACCAGCTGAGAACCCCTGCTGTCACCTTCTGGTGGCCCATATGCAGATGCCATTGTATTAATTACCAAAGAAAGCCAATGAACTCTGAAGTCCCTCTGTCAGTGAGGCAGCTGCTGCAGCTCTGGCACAGATTTCCTTCCTCCCTTTGATTGTCAGATAGAACTTCTAATCTCCTCTTTAGAGCACTGGTAAGACTGCATTGTAGGTCCTCAGAGCCTTGGCTAGTTCAGTCAGCTCTGATCTGTGGTTATAGCCGACTAGAAGGAGCATGCATCATGGTGACTCATACCTTTTAAGCTTAGCAACTGGAGGCAGAGGTAGGTAAATCTCTGAGTTCAGTGCCATCCTGGTCTACCTTGTGATTTCCAGACCAGCCGGTGTTAAATGGTGAGACCCTATCTCAAGTAAGTAAGTAAATAAATAAAACCAGACTAGTTAAAACTAGAGTTTAGAACTGGGAAGAATGTTACAGATGGTCTAACTCCCCCAGTTCATGGATGAGCAGTGCAAGGATTAGAAAGAGCAGTTGGGTTCAGAGTCTTTAGGGTTAGAACGTCACTCCAGAGTGTTCCTGCTGTGTGCCATACTCCTTGTCACCGAGCCATGTGCCCAGGAAGGAGGGGTAAATCCATCTGCTTTCAGCTTCTTTTCTCTCATGTTCTTATTCAAATTTTAAACCGTCTTGGAGCCAGTGAGAAAGAGAATGCTACATGGGAGGAGAAAGGGCTTGGATAGTGGTGTGTTGAAAAACAAAAGACAGCAGTGCCTGTGTTGAAGGCCTTTCTTCAGCACAGTAGGTTGTACGTGAACCCTGGCAGAGTGCCTGGAAATATGAAGCAGAACTGGGCTCAACTTCAGCCCCTTGCCATTGCCCTGGTTTTGGTTGCTTTGTCTGTAACAGTTCATTTCTGGTGACCTTTTTCGGTGAGATGGAACATGGGAAGGTGGTGATCTGTGGCAGGTAAATAATGGGGTGTGTCCCTGTGGTTTGGCTGATGCAGCTTGCTTTATGGGCTTTCCTGACGCCAGCACTGTCTCAGGGGTGTTGAGGCCTTGCCTTCCAGTCTTGAAAAGTGACTCAGTTGGTTTTCTTCTTTATTAGCCACTCTCCTGGCAGTGACAGCAGTGACAAAGCTCACTTAGGTTTGTTGACTTCTTTTAATTATAAAACTGCTTTTATGATAGGAATTTCAAGGTTATTCACGTGATTGACATTTGTCGTTTATGGAAGAATCTGAGGAAGACTAGGAAAAGAGAGCAGGGAAGTGTGGATGAGTGTGAAGGGGGCCAGCCAACTGCTTTAAATGCTGCAGTTCTAGACATTTTCCACACCTCACAGTGTAAGATAAAGGAGGATTTTCAGAATGATAGTTTAGCACAATACTACGCTCGAAATGCCTACTGGATTTACTTTTAGCTTTCTGAAGACAACTCTTTACAACAAATGAATTCTTACATAGGAGACACACACACACATACAACTTTAGACACTTAGGAGTGTTATTCTTTATGTTAGGTGCTGAGGATGCAGAGAAAAATAGGATGGTTCTTCATGCTTTCGACAGTAAGAAACAGATACTAACAGAAGAAACTGTGCTATGTATAGTATATCATAAACAAAGGTACATGGGAACTCAGGACTTGCCCATTGTTGTTTGCTAAGTGGTCATATAGACAATCAGGTTGTGCCTTCTTGGTTTGGATTGTGGGCCAGAGATTACACCAGTAAGTAGCCAGGGTTTACTCTTGTGCTTACTAAATACCTTGTACAGAAACAGGCACTTGGGGAGTACTCTTTACCTTTTCAAAGGAGTTTATCCCTTTCCCAGGAGAGTGGGTTTCCTGTTCTGGTGTCGCTGTTGTGTATGTTCAGGCCAGAGTGATGCACTCCTAGACAGGCATGAAACAAGATCACAATGAATGCTGAGAGTCTTAGGGGAGCACAGGCCTCTTTAACTTTTCTGGTGATGCCCCCGGTGGAAGATAAGGAAGCATGAGGATTTAAGATAGTAGCAGGCAGGTACTTTCTGAAGTAGAACTACCTTTTAAATGAATCAGGCCTCTTGTTTCGATTATATGAACAAAACAAAAAGCCTATAAGTGCTTTAATATGAGTTATTGTTATGTGACTAGTGTGAATAGTATCTCGTTACTGCTACGTAAAACTTCAATTATGGGGTATATGTCTGGCTTTCCTGAATCTTAGGTGTTGGAAAGAAATGTAAGAGTGATTGCGCTCTTACCTGATTGTTCCCAGGAGCCGTTCCTAATTCTTTCCCCAAACAGGTTTTCATGCTTTCTGAAGCTTCTTGTTCTCTATTAATTCTGTGGAAATGTGTTTGAGGAAGTGAGCCCTTAGATTAGTGATGGTGTCCTCAAAGGAGATTATTTTTGAGATCACATCTCATCTTAGATTTGCCTAGATTTTATCCTTCTGGGCAATTCTGTTCCTGTGTCTTACTTGGGGTCTTGTTACTTAGACTTATGTTCCAGTTATTGCCATTTAATGATCTTACATTTGTGGTAGAATCCTGGTAAACTTCTTAAACTGTCCCTCCACTGTATGAAGAAGGCAGAGGGACTGCCAGGTCGCTGCTGCCTTTCTTAGTACATACCTCTTGTTTTCTGGTGATGAGCTGATGAGGTAACTCTGACATTTGAAGAACCCCTTTCTGACTAGTACATTTTTCTGATATCTCTTTTAATCAAGAGTTTCCAGAAATTTTTCCTCTAAGACTCTGACATCTTAGTTGCGTCTGTGTGTGTGTGTAATTCCCCCCTCTCACTCTCACTCTTTTGTCTTCTTTTTCCTCTATGCTCCCGGTTCCCCAACCAGGCCAGCTGAGCTGCATTTCCTTCCCACCTAAGGAAGAAAAGTATCTCCAGCAGATTGTGGATTGCCTTCCCTGCATACTGATCCTCGGCCAGGATTGTAATGTCAAGTGCCAGCTGTTGAACCTGCTGTTGGGGGTGCAAGTGCTTCCCACCACCAAGCTGGGCAGCCAAGAGAGCTGTAAGCTTCGGCGCCTCCGCTTCACCTATGGGACTCAGACTCGGGTTAGCCTGGCACTGCCTGGACAGTATGAACTAGTACACACGCTGGCTGCTCACCAGGGCAACTGGGAGACCATCCCTGAGGAGGACTTGGAGGTTCAAGAAGACAGTGAGGATGCTGCTCATGTTTTAGCTGAACTGGAGGTGACGATGCACCATGCTCTCTTACAGGTACCAGTCTTACATGCACCTGTCTATACCAGCTTTTATCTTCATCTTTAGAAAAAGTAGTTTGGGGACATGCATTCTGGGCTTTGAGCAGCTACTTGTATATTCCAAATTTGACCCAGGAAGCTGAATGTAAGCAGGCAGTAGGGGTATCATCCCTGACTCTCCTCACTGTGCTGTAAGAACCTTGGGAATTTGCTTGTCTCCCTGTCAGAAAGGAGAAGATATGTGATTATTGCATTTTGATAAGCTTTTACAGAATAGTTATCAAAATTAGTAAGATCTTGGTGGAAATGTCTATAGCCATCCTTTTCTAAACGGACAATAAGATGATGAATCATTAATGTTCTTGTTAGAATTGATACCAAGTGACATTTTTTATTGTTTTTTTTTTTTTCCCTGAGTCGGGAAGCTCATTTCTCCTATGTTATAAGGATCTCAGGTCTGGTTCAATGTAAAGAGACAAAGCAGCTCTGTCATTTGAAGAATATCTTGGATTCTCTCTCATGTAAACTCGCAGAGAGTACAGGTGCCGTGGCGCCTCCTGTGGTATCATATTGGCTATCATTATTCCTACCTTCACATGGGAAGGACTCCCCTCTCTTTCTGAACTTCCTTTGCTACTGGGAGTTGGTGAAAGATGTGACTGTTGGGTCAGAGTAGGTAGGAATAAGAGCATGGTCATGCCCAAACTTCAGGATTCATCACCGTGGGTGGCTTCTCAACCTCCCTATCTTCTAAGAGACTTGGTTTCTCAGTGAATGAGTCCTTTGGTTGTGACTATGGCCTGTGATACTCTATAAATAGAAACTGTCTTCTCACTTCCTTCCTCATGTTTCTTTTATCTTTATATGCTGGGGGGTATGTAACAAGCCCCATTTTCTCTCAGTTCAGTTTTAGTGGTGGGTTTCCTCTGTGTTCATGCGCTTTACCGCTGAGTGACACACCAGCCCTATTTAGTTTAAATTTATAGGGTTCTCTTTATATTTGCTCATTTTTGTGGGGTGTATGGTGTATGGGTGCAGGTGGCTATGCACCATATGTGGAGGCCAAAGGAGTTTATGAGGTGTCTTTCTCTGTTGTTCTCTGCCTTAGTTTTTTAAAATTTTATTTATTATTTTTATTTTACATGTATGCGTGTATTGCCTGCATGTAGTAACTGCACCCGTGTCGTGCAATGCCAGCAGAGGTCAGAAGAGGCTGTCGGATCCCCTGGGACTGGAGTTATAGACAGTTGTTAGCTGCCATGTGGGTGCTGGGATTTGAACCTAGGTCTTCTGCAAGAACAACCAGTGTTCTTAACCGCTGAGCCATCTCTCCAGCCCCATGCCTTGTTTTTTTGAGACAAGGCCCTCACTGAACCTGAAGTTTGCTGTTCTGGCTTGGCTGGCTGGCCAGCCTGATGCTGGGCTCCATCTCTCTTCTTCCCCTCACCCTGTGGTTACAGGTGCTCCCATCCAGGCCTGGCATTCACATGGGTGCTAGGGGTTTGAACTCAGGTCTTTTTGCTTTCACAGCAGGTGCTCTTAGCACTGAGCCATCTCCCCAGCCTTTTGCTATAAACACTAATGTCCATTTACTTCTCCTCCAGGAGTTGAAGAGATATCAGAAAGGCACAGTAAGAGAAGTGCAAGCTGTAACCCCCCCCCAAGTGCATGTCTGAACACATGCCTTATTACTAAGCTTCTGGGGCCGCTCCTCCTAGGTCCTAAACACACAAACGGAGATCACAGTTGGGGATGGCATGTGATAACAATACCAGATCAGCTTTCTCTTGGCATATAAAATGTAGGTTCTCATTCTTCATGAGGAATTCTCTAGCCTCTCATGTTCTTTCATGTGGTTGATGCGCCTTCCCTTAGGTAATGTTTCTCTGGATTCCTTTCTTCTCCAGTGGTTTTGATGTGGAACTGGGAACAGATCCTAGAGATTCTAAGTTTAGCTTCCTGTGATGCTAAGCCTGAAGGGGGCCTTTTGGCCTCTGGGGACTCGGTACTGCTCTTTCATCACAGGCTCTCATCTGTTGAATACACTGGAGATGGAGTGAGATGCTCAGTTCACTACTAGGAGTAGTGCACAGCCACCTGAAGATTGTTCACGCCCATAAGAAAGATTTTAGTTTAGCTCCAGTTATATTTAGGAACAATGCGTTCATCCTTCTACTTGATTTGGAGAGGGGGTAAAAAAGGAAACATTTAGCTAAAGGAAACCAAACTTGAATTAGGGGAAATGGGAGCTGTTACATTATCAAAGCAGAATTTCCCCCTGCCCTCTTATACAATGCTCATTCTTCTAATGTTACTTTAAAGTCCTCATAAGCTAGCCATTTTCAGCTTATTCAAAAGTAGACCAACTCATGTCAGCTTACACTGCTAGCATTTCCAACTTGTTAATTCTAGTCCCCCAAGATTTTTGGATTGTACTTCAATAAGAGAGGAACACTATTAAGCCATTAGTAGCTGAGACTTTTTTTTGTGTGTTAAAACTTGATGTTTTTTCAATTGGCAGCGCATTTCATGATTCCTCATATAAAATATTTTATATGCAAAAGTACTTTCCCTTCCCTACCCTCACCCGCTTTCTAGCACCTGCATCTACCTACCTTCTTTTAAAATTCCTTCCTACAGGCTAATAGAACAGTTGTCTGACTCACTCATGATGATGATGGAGATGATGTGTGTGTGTTTCTCCTATGAAGATTCAACTTGCTCAGCTTAAGAGAGGATTCCTGCAGCCTCACCAGTGCTTCATGTACTGTAGCAGTTGCATAATTTCTGCTGTTCTGAAGCTGCTGTGCTCTAAGGCTGCACCTCTTCTTCCATCAGTAGGTCTTCCTGTTTATACAGGTTACCCTTGAACTTGTAATCCTCCTACCAGCCTCCCACATGCTGGGCTTCTAGGGATGAGCTAGCACATCTGGCTGTGCTGTTCTGCCCTTATCAGTAGCCTGTTTATCCTACCAGATACTTTCTTTGGACAAATGTACATGTCACCTGGCAACTAGCCTGCCACAGAGCTGACATGATTTTTGGCTCATCATGATTTACAGTAAGATGTACAGGGAACTGAAGAAGACTTGCAAGTAAGCTAATTTAAAAAATATATGAAACTAACCAGTTACAGTGATAAAGTTTTCTCTATTTATAACTCTCAATAGCCACAAGTGGAAGCAACCTCTTTAATATCATGTAGATATTTATTTATTATGTTTTAGCAGTTAATGGTTGCAAAATTCATAATCACTATCAAGCATCATAAGATGACAAAAGCTTATACAAAAATTTCACCCCCATATTTCCTAAAATTGTTGCTAGACTAGCTTCTCTCAGTCATTGGCATCTTGGTGCCATATAGAACAAATTTTACATGTTACCTGTAGTTAGATACTGCAGAATTGTCTCCAGAATATACCTAGATTAAAAGGTAAGAGTTGATAAGTAATACATAGGAAAGAAGGCTAGGGCTAGAAGATGCTGTTGGGATTAGGCCCCAGACAGTTATCCCAAGAGAAAAGCAGTAAGGGTGAGGCAGAATATATAAGACAGACAAGTGAAGAATGATACTTCAGAGATAGAATAAAGAAAGCTTAATCTTATGGGGCAAGAAAAGAGAAATGAAACGATGTGTGAGAAAGGCAAATACTAAATCATAAATGCCTTGTGCTCTTTGAATTTACCATCGCTTACCTTTCCCCTTACACACACTAGGCTATATAGTGAAATGTAACCACCCTGCTTATATTGTTCTTTGCCAAAGAAAACCAGGAATCTATATTATAGGTTAATGTACCTGTTAAGAATGTGTGTGGTTTAAAGGCAAGTTTGTTTGCTTTTTTTTTGGCACTAGGGATTGAACTCAAGGCCTTGTACTTGCTGAGCATATATTCTACCTCAGAGCTAAATCCATACCAGGATTAAAAAAAAATTCTTAGCCAGTGGCTGGGGATGTAACTCAGTTGGTACAGAGCTTGTCTAGCATGGACAAAGCCCTGGGTTCCATCTTCAGCACAGCATAAATGAGTCATGGTGGTATATACAATCCTAGCATTCAGGAGGTAGAGGCAGGAGAATCAGAAGATCAGGAACATCCTTGGCTACATAGCTTGAGGCTAACCTAGGATATATGACACCCTGCCTCAAAAAATAACTTAAAAATTTTTTATTCCTACTGTAATAGAGGTGATATTGTTTAACAGAGCACGATGATACTGAAGCTGTCTTTTCTCAATTCACTGTTATTCATTCACCTTTGGCTTTCCATGCTAGCTCTTAGAGGGAAAATACGACAGTTTATAATTTTAATCTTACTCTCATCTTTTCCCTTGGCTAGTCTCCTGTCTGCCATTCTCCTGCACCAAACTGACCATTTCCTCTCTCAAAACCTCATTTGTGTCTTCCTCTGAAGAGAGGCCTGTATAGGAGGGAGTCTCACTGGTTCAGTGTCTCAGAAACTGAAAGGATTGTCAATAGGTAGAAACTTGATTGTTGGAACTTGGTCTAGTTTGCTTTCCTGTTACTGTGATAAATCACTGACCAAAAACAAGTAGGAAAGGAAATGGTTTATTTGGCTTACAGATCACAGCCCATGGTTGTGGGAAGCTGGGGCAGGAACTCAAGATAGGACCTAGAGGCAGGAACTGAAGCAGAGACCACAGAGGAATGCTGCTTACTGGCTTGCTCCCCCTGGCTTGCTTAGCTACTCATAGACATCCCAGGCCCACTTCCCCACAGTGGGCTGGGCCCTCCTACATCAATTAGCAGCCAAAAAACACCCCCCAAAACCTCACAGACATGTCAACAGGCCAATCCAGTGGAGGAAATTCCTTAATTGAAGTTCTCTCTTCCCAGGTATTTCTAGTGAGAAAAACTAACCAGCACAGTCCTCTTGAAAATATTTTTTTCTGATTCTTAAAAAAAAACTTATTATTTTATGTATATGAATGTATTGTCTACACGTATGTAAGTGCACCCATGTTGCACAATGCTCGTGGAGGTCAGAGGGGG